CCGGGGCACGAACCCGTGTCCCCTGCATCGGCAGGCGGACTCGCAACCACTGCGCCACCAGGGAAGCCTTAAGCATGTACTTTTATATTAAAAGACTTGAAACATACCTCAACCTGGTATTTTATTTTGTAAGTTAAAAAAGAACTTGTAACATTTCAGCAGGGCAAGTTTACCCTACTGTGACTTCTGATAGTCAAGAAGGCAGATTATGGAACTAAGAAACCTGTTATTTAAAATCTCATCAACCTGTCTAGAGATTGTAAAACATGAAATTATGCAAGGTCAGTGTTGTACACATATGTGGGCCTTATCACACCAGCATCAGGAAGGCCCTGGGTCAATGGCCTACAAAGAAAACATTCGGGTAGAGTGTATCAAACACTGCTGCTTTGCCAGTAATGTACAAGAAATATCTTTAGATGAAGTCTAACTTCATGTGGATAATGGATGTTCTGAGGAAGTATCAGTTCATTTAACAAAAGCTTTGTATTTTTCTTTAACTGACACATGTATGACCCCAAACACGACACTGAGCATTACTATATTTACAGTTCTCCCAACCAAGTTCAAAGCATGATCATTTTCTTGATAACCTTCAGAGAATAAACAGCCTGTTTAATACTAATTTAATAAATAGGGTAATACATTTCTCATTTTTTATTTTGCAAAATTAGATAACGAAGCTAGAAAAAATAAAAGTTAAATGTGAAATTAAAAAATGGAAAAGTAAACTTGGGAATATTTAACTCAAATTGTACTTACTGGTGGGAACTTGAGGCAGTTATTTAGATAAGTATTTCCAAATGGCTTTTAAAAAATGCATCTCTGTTGTATACAACAATCTCAGTCTTGCTCTCGTTACGTTCTATTCAGTTCAGCTAATCACATACCCCTTGAAGTTAGATATTATCAATGTTCAGTAAACCTTTAGTTTGGGTTTATAGACTACAACATTTAACCTTTCCACAAAAGGGAGTACTTAAGCTAGAGACGTCAGCAAGCCAGAGTTTTATCGAAGGAGAACCTGGAAGCCAAAAGGCATGTTCCTTTATGGGAGAGATCAGTCAGCTGACCCACAGGACACAGTTGCCACCAAAAGTCATCTATTCAGTGTAGAAAAACTAGAAAACATGAGTAATGGAAAAAAAGTAAATTACCTCAAATCCTATCCCAGAAGCAGCACTACTGAAATCCTTCCAGACACTGTCCCATACAAATACATTTTTCTTTAAAAAAATTGTTGCCACCTAAAAAAACAGACAAGAATGAATGTCCTTCCATGTCAGATAACAGATCCAAATCATTTAATGGATACATAATACTCCATTTTTTAATGTACCTTAATTTACCTAATCAATTCTGTATTGTTGCACTTTTGCTGTTTCCAATTTAACAATTACAGTGCTGCAATGAAGCAGTCGTCTTAAAATAAGCACGCACGTGTAATGTATTATACTGGTCCGTGCTCTAAAGTCAGACACTGTCCCACCCCTCTCCCCGTTCACTGAGCACAGTGCTGAGCACACAGTCTGTCGATTAGTCAAGAGGACTTAGATCAGTGGTCCCAACTATGGGCAGTTTTGCCCCCCAGGGGGCATTTGGCAATGTCTGGAAGCATTTCTGGTTGTCATGGCTAGAGGGGAAGGGGAACAACTGGCGTCTAGTGAAGAAGGCCAGGAAGCTGCTCGACACCCTACAATGCCCAGGGCAGCCCTTACAACAACTACCCTGTGCAAAATGTCCACAGTACTGCTGTGGGGAACCTAGTTTAAGATGATGTAAGAAACTACAGCATTCCATGGGATTAAGACGTTGAAAGTTTCTTGCACATAGCTTAGTGGCTTGCTCAGACATTGTTCCTCCAAACGGGCACTCAGGCCTTTTGTCATCGCATGGCTTTGCTATCTGAGAGCCATTTCCTTCCTCCTCTACAGGGGGAAGGAAGCAAGTAGAATATCATTCAGGAGGCTCTATGGCCAGGCCTACAGACAGCCACCTAAGTCCAAGTCCACCCACTTCCATTGGCCAGATCCTGGTCTTGTGACCCCAACCAAAACTACAGGGGAGGCTGGGAAATGTAGTCTTCCTAAGTATCCAGGAAAAGGAAATGGCATTGATGGCATTTTGCCAATTTCTGCCATCTTTAGTTTCAAAACAATTCTACAAATTAAGATTATAGAATACAATAAAACAAAAAATTATTAAAGATAACTTTAAAAAACCACGCTTGCACATAGCTACTCAATAGACATTTGTTGAGTTGGGGGTCATTGGCTCTGTATAGAAAGAGTGAGCAGTGTTCTCTTAGCATCAGATATTTGTTGAAGCCCTGCAATGGACGTGCTGGGTATCTCCACTCATCTTTCTCCACCCCAGGTCTACACTCCATCCTCTGCCTTGCTTGGTCCAGGATGCTGACCTCACTGAATTATATTAATAGGCTCCCTGGTGGCGCGGTGGTTGAGAGTCCACCTGCCGATGCAGGGGACACGGGTTCGTGCCCCGGTCCGTGAAGATCCCACATGCCGCGGAGCGGCTGGGCCCGTGAGCCATGGCCGCTGAGCCTGCGCGTCCGGAGCCTTTGTGGCAGGCTGGCTATCGAATTAACTATTGCTTCATTTGTGGCCTTTGAAGTGTGTAAAAATAAAATTGTCAATACGAATTGTATTGGCCATTTGATGTCAAGCACCCAGCAGCATTGACATGCCAAGGAATTAGAACACATTTGTTTATAGTAGTTAAATGAATGAATGAAGCATTCAAATTTGGCGGAAGAAATTGTTCCCCATCAGTGGTTTATACCACCACCAAGCCCACATTGGCTGCATGTAATCTCTGGCAGTGTTCACAGGTGCCAGGTACTGCAGTGAGAGCCTTGAAACTTGGGAGGTTCCCTACAAACTGGGGCTACTCACTTTCCTGTAGATCAAGTGTCTATCAGAGATTCCTTCTGTGTCAATGATCTTTGGTGATGGCTTTGAGGAATCCATATTAACTCACCTTCCCAGAGTGGATCCCAAAAAAGGGCCTGGACCACAAGGCTCCATGTCCTTGTCAATTGCGTGGAGAGTGAGAACAATGTCAAAAGGATGGAGAGTCCAAAAACTTCCAGCAGGATACCTGCTTAGATATTTTTAA